GTTCAGTTCCCATAACATTGTGGCAATCCACGGGAATATGGCCACGCTTGTGGTCATCAACAAAGTGACACCCAAAGTTATGTCCTGGTCCTCTTGTAATTGTACTTTGATTTACCAGGATATTTAAAGGGGCTGATCACTGGTGTTGGCATTCACTGGTTGGCGTTCACTGGTGTCAGCGTCCACTGAAGATGTGCATTTGCATGAAACGTGCTGGGGCAGAGCTATGCGCTGACATCACGCTGCCACTTCAGGTCTCAGAAATGGCGGCCACCATTGTAAGTGCACTGTGATTTGTTTTTATCTTTTATGGTTGTTGTTCATATGACTTTTAATAAAATTACTACACTATATATGGCCTTTCTGGTATCTGGCTCCTTGTGGTCCATAGAGGAGAGGCTGTGGTAGATTGATAAATATGTGCTGTTGGCTGCATTAGCAACTGAAAATCTGGTGAGTTCTGTAATAATCCTTGTTCACAAGTGGTGACAGAGCCTTTAAACAGTGATACGGATTGGTCTATTTGAACTTTTACAAGGACTGTGCACATTTATTCACTGGACATCTTTTGTGCGATCACTAGTTGTGTTTTATTTATTTAAGCTGTATCACTTTAAGATTATATCTATAGGCGCTGCACTTTTGGTTTTTACAGATTGTTGTTGGGGTTTGTATACTTACCCACTGCCAGCTGTCTTATACCTTTTAATGCTGACTGTATGCATTGAGTGAACATTATTTAAAAATAAAACTACAAAAAATATGGACTACACAATCTGTGCTTAATCATCCATTGTGCAACATCTTGATTTTGTCACACTTTTTTTTTTATTATTATTATTATTATTTAGATGAACCTAAAATTTCAGTGTAATACATTACTTTTTTCAACAGTATGAAGAAAACAAGAAGGAGAGGTTGGTTTCCAGTATTCAAAGAAGAATCTTACTGTATACAGCTTCTAAATTCAGTAATGAAGAATCCACCTTATACAAAAGGATCCTGACTCACCTTGGGCACACAGTTTTACAGTTTGGAGACATTAGAAGCGTGAAATCATTTGTTAAGCATGGACAACAGCCTCAGAGTAAGTATATATAAAGGTTTTTAGGAACTAGTATATTATATTTCACTTTATTTGTCTATTATGTAAACCAATTTGATTTCTAGATTGTGCTATGTCATTGAGCATCTTTTCTGATATACTGTAGTTTCCATTAAAATCATAGCATTCTTTCTTCTGTACCTCCATCTTATCAGACCACCTTTTGAGCCTAAGATTATTGGGACCATTTAGAAGGAACTGGAGAATCCAACTGCTGGCCACGGTGACCATGACCAGATATATTCCTTGTTTAATAATGCTGGGGGATAAAGACACAAACTAATTGGTCACTGTGGGAACATCTACAATTTTTTTTCCTATTTTCTTATTTTACTCATTCTTTCTGTGTATAGCCTACTATGCATGTGTGTCTGCTATGCATGTATGCTTACTATTCCAGCTGAGCCATAATATTTAACTGCTTAGAGCAGTAAAGTAAGACATTCCTAAAAAAAGAAGCTATCAAATACAATTTGAAAATATATGCATTTGGTTTGTACTGTTGAGAAAGAAAAGAAGATGTAATAGAGTACCAGACTACAGCTCTTGTTCCCTGCTATTCTTCAGAATAGCTCTGATTCTTACCAGAGGTACTCTGTTATAGAGAAGTTCTGAGCACTCAGTTATCAAAATGTAGCATAAACTCCTATCCTAAAGGTTTTTTTTGTTTGTCTGCTTTTTTCAGTTAGCACAAGGGAGGGTACTTACATTCAGTGAGAAGTGTCCCTTGTGCTGGTGGCTGCTGTCTCAGTTGAAATTTTCTGTCTTCTCCCCCCCCCCCACCTCTACATACCCCTGGAGTGGTAGTCTTTTGGTGCTGCGGGGGTTAATACTGCTGTATTATACTATAGTTTCCATCAATGTAAAGAACTCTATCAATGGAGGACAGGTGGTTGAATGAAGGGTCTGCTGCCTCTGTTCATGGACTGTTTTTACTGATGGAACCTATAGTACATCTTTTATAAATGGAAGAGAGAGGGGCGGAAAGGGCAGGCATGCTCAGGACTCTTGACAAGTGCTTATATTAGGTGTAGCAGCTATATTAACACCTGCAGCACCTGAAGATTATCACTGCAGGGTTTGGAGGGACAGAAGATGGAATATTTCAACAAAGACAGCTTGGCTTTAACTAGACAGGATATCGTGTGTACTCTCCAGCGCCTCAGGATATGCACAGCCAAAAGGGAAGCCAAGGGTACCAGGACAGCGACAACCAAAGGAAATGTTCCAGGGGTGCAGCCCTCCTCAGACGGGGAAATCAGCCACTGGATAGAGAGAAAACAGGTGGCGCACACACCTAGTGCATTATCCAAGGTTTATTGTAGGAGTGAAATAATAAAAACATACTCACAGATGAAGCATGTATCTAAAAAGCATAGAAAAATGACAATGGCCACAACGGCAGGCAAGGTGTTCTCACTGTCAGTGCAGTCAAATGGCTGAAGCGTTTTGAGGACGAATCCCTTTCCTCAGAGCTGATGACCAACCTCTGATGCTGATGTATGATGTATGGACAGAAAGAGCCTCACTGTTGATGCCTTCTGTCTCATTCCTACAATAAACCTTGGGTAATGCACTAGGTGTGTGCGCCACCTGTTTTCTCTTTAACTAGACAGAATTTAACAATAGTTTCTCACTATACAAAATTTATGGAAGGTTTAAGACAAGGGCCACTGAAAATCTATGAATGTTACAGCAAGTAAAAACAGGGATGGTGGGTGGGAACTTTTCTGGTGGTTATTACAGCTCCAAGTTCAGTACTCATCCCCTCACAGATACTTCAATGTACCAGCAATGCCCACTAACAGTAGTATAGCCATTAGTTACCCCATTCATAACTGAGGCAGGGAGAATTTGGGATTTATGAAGAAGCAACGATCATTTTGCCATGCTTCCAATAGTCAGGGTTCCATTATCTTGTAGATCAAGGAGCCTTCATTCTCATACTAGATTTTTAATATTTAAATTAATGGAAGAAACCAAGATGGTTATATATCAATCAAAACTGAGTTAGACTGAGAGGTAAAATTAGAAACATCTTATAATACTTTCACCTTGAGGTCTATTTATCTGGTCTATTATATGTTCAGACTGAGGTCTACCTATTTGATCTAAGTTTTTAATGTGGACAGATTCAAGATGACTAGAGCTTTTCATACAGCATTATCTTCTACTACCACGTATCTAGGAATAGTTAGTCACATTCAACTGGACTTTACCAAACCACTTCCTCCACTTCTTCATTTCCTGGAGTTTTAAGAAAAAAACCCAGAATTACTATTCACATGATAGGACAATTCAATCCAATTACTATGGAATGTGTTAATACTGATTGCTCAAGAGCAGAATGGGAGGTGTAAAAGTGGTACCATCCTGTCTTACAGTTCATAACCCCACTGCTAGTGTCAGGTAGACATATGCATTTCATTTCTCAACAAATTGATTTTCGTCCACAATTTAGATTTTTGGAGATTTGGATGTATACAAATCTCTGAATTGATACAGTAAAAAAACATAAATGAATCCAAAAAAAAGTTATAATGAAACTAACAAATGCATTCGTTTCATTCGGATGATGGCACATGATGTGATAGTGGTTCTGGTCCATGGTGAAATTAATAAAATTTTCAAATTTGTTTGATAATTCCAATTCGAGTAAATTTGTGATTTAAATTGAATTTGTGATGGTTACAGTTAGGGGTTGCACCGATATCGGTATCAGTGCTGATACGATACTAAGCACTCATCCAAATGCTCTGATACCTGAAACTAATACCTGTATAAAATGAATGTCTCAAATCACACTGCAAAGAATCACATGTGATTTGAACAGGAATGCGGTGCGATTCCTGTCCGAATCACATGTGGTTTCCCTGGGTGCAGTTTTAGCCATTCATTTTGTATGGCTCAAATCGCACTGCACCCACAGGGAAACCGCATGTGATTCAGAAAGGAGTCACACTGTATTCAAATCACATGCAATTCTTTGCAGTCCAATTTTGAGCCTGTTCATTTTGTATGGGCTCCAATCGCAAAGTTATCAGTAATCGGTAGCGGTGAGTACTTGAGCACAAGTATTGTTGCTCGTACTCACCAATAAAAAAACAATATTGGTGCAATCTTACGCAAAATCAATTCAGTTCCGCAGTCTAAATTGCAGTTTGAAAAATTGGGGCTATTGAATTTTGCATTATTTTTTCCATTGCATCCACAAATATTGAATCCTTGATTATGAAGGATATATGAATATTGAATCCACCCAAAATATATGGCAATCTTCCAAAAAACTGCAAACTTTTTCGAATCCACCCAGAGCTATGAATATAAAAAAGGAGTGCCAAATAACAAAACATATCCCAAAAATGAAACGGTTCAACATAATGAATACGACAAAACTAAATTCTTCAATAAACGAATGCTTCCGAAACTAAAAGAAAATTTCTGGCATGCACAAGTCTAGTCCTCATTTTACATATCATATGTGTAAATTATTGTCAAATTGCCAGGGTAAAGATAGGGTAAAGATATTAAAACAACATTACATGTTAGAAGGCTATCTCACCCAGTTCCTTCCTGGGTAATGCCATTGATACACAGCAAGAACTTGCAAGATTTCTGGCATAGGCATTTTTTCCTTTACTCAGAAGATGTCTATTATCACATGGGTAAAGGGGATGAATTTGAACTCCAAGAAGAAAGGGAAGCTGGAATCCTCTGCCCTTTCTTAAAAATGACTGTCAGGAGGAGAGTGCTGGAGAAAAGATAATTGAGAAAATTCTTGGAAAGAAATGCCTGCAAGGAAGAGTCTTTTTTGTTATGTCTTTTCACAATATTTTGAATGGTGACTTTAATTTCCTTGTGATGGTTGGGGAGAAGTTCCCCTTAAAAGTTTAAGACAGCAGCATGGATATACAGCAGGTCTTGAAATTTCCACTCACCTGCTCGCCAATGGCGAGTGGAAATTATGGTGGGGGCAAGTGTGTCCCCCAGGGCCATCGTGCTGAGCAGGCTTGGAGCTCAGGCCGGATCTGTCATTGGCACTAGGAGCCGTCAGACTGCTCAATAGCTGAGCGCAGTGAAAGAGTGTGTGCTGTGCTCTCTGCCTCCCCCTAGAGTGCAGTACCTGGATCTGTGAGAGAACAACGAAGTACTGCAACTTTTTATGGGGTAGTGGGGTGTGTGTGTGTGTCTGCGTGTATGTACATGTATGTGTACATGTGTGTGTACATGTATGTACATGTGTGTGTACATGTGTGTACACATGTGTCTGTATGTATGAACATGTGTGTGCGTGTGTATTTACATGTATCTGTGTGTATGCGTGTCTGTACGTGCCTGTGTGTATACATATGTCTGTATGTGTACATGTGTCTCTGTGCCTGTGTATACATGTTTCTGTGTATGTATGTACATGTCTGTATGTGTGTGTACATGTGTCTCTGTGCCTGTGTGTACATGTTTCTGTGTGTGTATGTACATGTCTGTGTGTGTGTACAGGTGTCTCTGTTTGTGTGTGTTTGTTGGTGGCGAGTAACGCTAAGGCCTGGCTAGTAGCTCAGGACTTGAAATTTTAAGCCCTGATATACAGTCTATATTAAAGTAGCTGACAAACTAAGGTTTGAATGTTTCTAAAGTTAAATATTATATAACAAGTTAAATAATACAAAGCTGAACATCAGTATGTTGTTATGCTCCAAATTCTGCCTGAGACATTTGTTATCTTTTCTGTTTCTTGTGAGAGCACTATTTTTGAATCAGTTTGGATTGGACGGATGCCAGTTGTCTCAGAGAGGACTTATAAGGAAAGTAGCTGAAACTTCCATTAACCTTTCTGTTTTCTTAGCCTTGCTAAACTTCAATATTTTTTCACATGAATATAGGAAATATATTTCCTTTGTAAATCTTAACAATGTTCTTTACGCCCTATTTCTTCTAAAAAAAAAAAAAACTATTTTCTTCAACTATTGCTAACTCTGCTTTCAGTTACACATACAGTACGTTGTATGCATAATCTAAACACAGAGGAAGAAAATGGTTTGTTATATACTATAAACTTTTTGATTGAAAGCAGACTTCTCACTCAAGCTATTTTTGGACGGCTACAATTTTAAAGGCTTTAAACAAAATAAAATTCAAGGGATATACAGCACTGAAAAAATCAACTGTGTGCATAACAAATTTAAAGATCTGGTTTTCTTTCCTGACTGCATCTGGGGTTGGAGTATTAATATTTTCTGGAAATCTGAATTACCAGTCTCTGCAATTAATTTCCTGTCAATCTGCTTGCATAGCTTTCATAACAGGCCTCACCCTACTATGCAGTTATCCCTAAAGGAGATTTTCAGAATTTAGCAGAAAGAGTGAAACAAGGGACTAGATTTACTAAAGGCAAAAATGTTGTTCACTTTGCAAGGAAAATTCCCTTTAACCACTAGCCTACAGGGCACTTTCACCCCCTTCCTGCCCAGGCCAATTTCCAGCTTTCAGCGCTGTCACACTTTGAATGACAATTGCGTGGTCATGCAACACTGTACCCATATGAAATTTTTATCATTTTTTTGAGACAGATAGAGCTTTCTTTTGGTGGTATTTAATCACCTCTGGGTTTTTTTTTTTTTTTTTTTCTTAAACAAACCAAAAACCACTGAAAATTTTGAAAAAAAAGTCTTAGTTTTTGTTGTACAATTTTGTAAATAAGTGATTTTTCTCCTTCACTGATGTGCGCTAATGAGGTTGCAGTGATGGGCACTGATAGGCTGCGCTGATGGACACTGATAGGGGGCACTGATGGGCACTGATGAGGAGGCACTGGTAGGTTGCACTGATGGGCATTGACAGGCATCACTGATGGGCACTGAAAGGCAGCATTGACACATGACACTGATATATGGCACTGATAGGCAGCGCTGACTGGCACTGATAGGCGGCACTGACTGGCACTGTTAGGCGGCACTGACTGGCACTGTTAGGTGGCACTGATGCGCACTGATAGGCGACACTGACTGGCACTGATAGGTGGCACTGATTGGCAGCACTGATTGGCATTGATAGGTGGCACTGGCTGGCACTGATGGGTGACATTGAAAGGCAGCTCAGATGGGCATTGATGTGCACTGGTATGCACTGATATGTGGCATTGATGTGGCACTGATGGGCACTGGCACGTGGCACTGATGAGCACTGACTGCTGGCAGTAATGGACATTGACAGGTGGCACTTTTGGGGCCACACTGATCATCAGGGCACACTGATCATCAGTGCCCTGATGATCAGTGTACATGTCCCCCTCCACGGAAAGCCGATTACCGGCTCTCTCTTCTCCTCTCGAGCTGTCAGCGTGACAGCTCGAGAGGAGAGAAATGCCAATAACCGGCATTTCCGTGTTTACATGTGATCAGCTGTGATTGGACACAGCTGATCACATGACCGAGCCGACATCTTCGGCTCTTTCCCTGATCCGCTGTGTCCGAGGGACACAGCGCACTGGTGATCGCCGCACTGCGCGCTCCCTGAGCCGCGCATGCGCGGGTGAGAATGGAAGGACGTCATATGACGTCCTATCAGTATGAGAGAACCACCTTGCGCCCGTCATTGTACTATATGGCGGGCGGAAGGTGGTTAAATTAGTGAATGAGTGGAAGTTCTGCTGACTTCTAACATCCAATTATGTGCAGCAAACTTATTCTTTATTTTCCTTGCATTAGTTAATCATTGTAAAGCGAATGTGTTAGAGATTCTGCATATAGCCCTACAGAACAGACAGTGCATAGTCAACATATGTTTATCTGTTGCTTCTCTTCTAACAGGAAAAAGGAACTTTATTATAGAGAAAAGACATAGAGTTGAACCATAGAAGCAGCTACAAACTTATAAAACACTGCCATCTACTGGTTGAAGAATATATCTCTACTGAATACTTATGTAGTTGTAGCACAAAATTCATGAACACTGTATTACAACACACCCACTCAATATCTACTCCTTATATTATTCCAGTTTCAGATCTCAGTTTCTATAAATCTGTTTCTTGTAAGTGGTTTTGTCAAAGCATCTGCAATCACCATGAAGTAGCTCTAAAGAGTCTATGTCTGCAGTACACTGAGAGATGTCATCTCTTCATTATCAGCTCTGATCCACTTGTGCTACATGGTTTGGAAGTCTTTGTATCTCATCCCATGAATCTGGCTCTGGTTTAATTTTACGCGAGCAACATAGGACAGACATTAGGCTCGGATGCCTTTATCGCTTCTTGTGGATTTTCTGCTTGAAGCCTCTTGTGGCCTTGTTTCTTCTTTTCCAGTATTTGGATTGTCTGTGTTAATTTCTATTTCTGTGTCACTTTATTGCTTGTCTTCATGTGACACTGATGTGGAATTTCCCTCAGTTTGAAGAGCTTGTGTTAGTCCATGAAAGTTTGAACACTCTGAAGTGTCATCGACAATTGCACTTCTATTGATGTTTACCTTGTTTGTATCTTGGTGTAGAAATCTGTATCCCTTTTGAGATTCAATGTATCCGACAAGTACACTTTCCTTTGCAGAAGCATTCTATTTTGTATGTTTTTCTTTTGGAATGTGCACATTGGCTTTGCTTCCAGTACATTTTAGATGGTTCATATTTGGGGCTTTTCCATCTCACAGTTCATATGGAGTTTTCTCAGTTGATTTTCCTGGTAGTCGATTTTGGAGATAGCATGCGATCATAATTGCCTCCCCCTAATATGGTTGGCTGCATCAGCATGGTTATTCCACTCTCGCATAGAGTATGATTAATTCTTTCTGCAAAACTGTTTTGTTCTGGTCGTATGGTATAGTAGTTTGAAATATTATGCCATGATTTCTGAGAATCGCTCGTGTGTTATCACCTGTATATTCAGTTCCATTGTCTGTTCGCAGTACACTTGGCATTTTGCCAAATTTGTTGCTTACTTGAACCAAACACTGTTCAAGTTTCTCTGGTACTTCACTTTTGTTGTGTAACAGATATAGTGTAGTATACCTGGAGTAATCATTTATAAAAGTGAGAAAATATCTCTTCTTTCCTGGAGTCAATTTTTCCCTTGGACCACAAAGATCTGAATTAATTAAGTCAAGTATTTTTTTAGCTGTGCTGTTACTCTGCTTTAGAAAGGCTTTCCTTGTCATTTTTCCTTTTATACAGCTGATGCATTTCATTGTTTGGTCACAGGGACTAATTTGTATTTCACTTGGATAGTGCTTCTCAGTTAATTTTTTTCTTATGTCAGGACTTATGTGCCCAAGTCATCTGTGCCATGTGTGAATGCAGTTTGAATAGTTTTCCTCTTTGGCAGTATTAACCACCTCATTGCAGTTCAGCTGATGCATATCATCTGTAAATTTAGCTTTTGCAAGTAAGATATCCCCTTTTATGATGGCACAACTGTCACATTGGAAGGTCACTATATTGCTTTGTTTTGTGAGCTTCTTCACTGACAAAAAATACATTTCAAGAGCATGGACATGCAGGACATTTTTTACAGGTAACTTTCTAGTGGCACTCTGGGAAACAGGACAGTAAAGAAAGCCTATTTCTTCTAATTCCATTATTTGCCCATTAGCTGTGGTGTTTTTTTCTGTTTACTCTGGTCAAGGTGGCCTTTTGTAGTTTAGTTTGTTTTTGCATTCGAGGTTTCCAGATTCTGCAATCTGCTTTTAAATGGCCTTGTTTTTTGTGCACAAAGCATTCACATGTTTCATGTTGCATGTTAATGTTTTTATTCCTATTTTTTGTCTTTAAAGCCTACTCTGCAATAGAAGCACCATCACTATTAATGATTTCCATTTTTATTTTATTTATTTCAGGTATTTATATAGCGTTGTCAATTTACGCAGTGCTTTATATACATATATTGTACATTCACATCAGTCCCTAACCCTCAAGGAGTGTACAATCTAAAGTCCCTAACTCATATTCATACATATACATACTAGGGCCAATTTATACAGGAGCCAGTTAACCTACCAGCATGTCTTTGGAGTGTGGGAGGAAAGCGGAGTACCCCCCACACAGTCACAGGGAGAACATGCAAACTCCAGGCAGGTGGTGCCGTGGTTGGGATTTGACCCAGTGACCCTAGTACTGCCAGGCGGACGTGCTAACCATTTAGCCACTGTGCTGCCCCACTTATATACATCCACAAGCTTGCCCTTAACATATTCTAAAATCACTCATCTGGACGTACATCAAGTGCTGTGGCAAGCATTTCATAACTTTCTGGTAAACCACTAAGTAACAGCATTGCAACATGAAAATATTTTTTATTTCTTCTCCTATACCTGTCAGGCGTTCAACCATTTCCAATGTGTGTCTTATGTAATCCTGCATATCCTGGCCTTTCATCAGCTTGGTTTGGTATAGCTTTCTAATCAAATACAGTTTTTTTCTGAGATTAGCTCTTTCATGCACTTTTTGTAATCCGTCCCACATTTCTTTAGTAGTTTCACACTTACATACAGTATATGTATGATTTGATAATCTTTTATGCCAAGAGAGATTGTGTTCTGAGCGTCTTGATCTTTTTCTATTCACTCATATGAAGGGTATTCTGGCCTGACTTCATTTATACATTTTCACGTACCTTATCTTATTAGCAGTATTTTTATTTTGAATTTCCAAGACTGGTAATTCAGGTTTGTCAGATTTTCAGATTTTTGTGCTGCTTCTCTGCTAACAGGAAACAGAAACTTGATTAAAGAGAAAAGACACAGAGTTTAACCATAGGTGCAGCTACAAACATCTAAACACTGCCATCTACTGGTTGAAGAATATATCTCTACTAAATACTTATGTAGTTGTTGCACAAAATACATGAACACTGTATTCCAACAGAATGTTTATCACTTTTACTAAGCTAAGGGAAAATATCCATGCAAAGTGAAATTTCCCTTTCAAAGCAAAACAACCTATTTGCCTTTGGTGATTAAACCCATTGTGAGGGACATGGAGGGCTCAACACTTCTGTTGGAAAGGGGAATGAGTCCAATTTTACTGTGGTTTATGTGACTGTACTAGGGCTGATATACTATCTTGTATTGGCCATTCATACATCCAATTTTCTTACAATTATCTGTTCAGGCAGATTGTTTTAATCAACTTAATACCTGAAATGATCATAGGATAAAACACAAAAGGTAGCTTCATCTGCCACAATCCAATCACCTTCAATATCAGAAATTTATTGGAAAAAAATAAACAAAGTTGAAAGTGATTGTTTCAGAATCAGTGCCAATTGACACTGGAATCACAGGGGAATGTGTGCATTCCAGTGCGGTCTGTATTTGACAGCCCATTCATTTGAATAGGCTGTTAAATGCTCTAGATTGTGTAAGGCTGTGGATCAAAAAGTATGGGTTTGTGTGTGTGTGTGTGTATAGGTTTATATACTATATAAATATAATTCATAGACACAGTAGACTGTATGTATTGGCAGATATGTAAAGTCTGTAGCAGTCATGGGGGGAAGGGAAGGATTTTTACATTTTTTTCAAGCATAGGTGCCCAAAAATTACCAGGACTAGTTTATTTTCAATGCATGCACTGAACAGTTGTGATTTACTTGGGATGCAAAAATTACCAGCAGCTCTGAATGCTCTTTCAGAGAAGATAGTAAAGGGTGGGCAGTATTGCTTCTTGTTGTAAATAATAATAGTGCAGTGCAATCCAAAAATCAAAATATACATATACTCTCACAGTGTATTATAAAGTGAATACATATATTAGTGTGTATGCATATCGTGCTTCACCCTCTGTGGGAAGTGGCTCCTCCTGATAGACCCATGCTCATCTCCGGCCTCGGCCGAGGCCAGAAGTGTGTTGTTATTGTGTCTGGAACGCACATAAGCTGTTTTGTTACTTTTTTTAATGTAAGCGGCACTCTTTCTTTATTTAATAAATGATTCTAATTACTAAACTATGGGTGGCTTCCCTGCTTTCTCCCTTATGACCATTCTTTAACAACAAGGAAAATACTGAAGGACTCGGTAGGAGAGACATACTGTGTGAAGTGACAACATCCTTACCTCCTGAGGTGTTTGACATTCATGCGCTTTTGACCTATATGAGAGTATGGCTGGCCATACATTATACAATTATCTGCAGATTTTCTGCCCAATTTCCTTTAGATTTACCTTCAACTATGTAGTGCAAGGGCCTGCCTAATTGGGTACAACTGAAAGTGTTGTTTAGGTTTGTCCTCCTATTATATGGTTTTTGGTAAATCTAAACCAAAAATCTGCAGATAATTGTATAATGTATGGCCAGCCTATGGCTCTATCCTTAAGGTGAGCAGCCACTTCCCACAGAGGGTGAAGCACAATATGTATATTGAACCACAAAGGTGGGGCCTTTAAATGGAGAACTGATTTCTGTTCAAATATTATCCACATATCTTTGGATGAGGAGCACATCTTTGAATTTGCATCATACATGCTTCATTTAAAATAGTCGGCTCGTTTTTGCATATGATTGAAGGG